TTTGGGGAAGTGATACGAAATATTAATCCCAAGCTTTTCCCGCTTCTCATAAAATGCAAAATACTATTGGGCCTAATTCTGTTGGGCTTTTACCCGTATAAGATTTCTTTCTTTCTTCGGCTATTATAGATAAAATATTAATAACTGTGATAGAGAAAAGTTTGAACTTTGGTGTTCACAATTGCGTTCGTGATATCAATCATTGGAGATTAAAGTTTGATCAATCATTGTTTTTTTTTTGGTCGTTAACTGTGATATTAATTAATTTTGTGAAATTACTTATCCTGTTATCGAACTTTAAATTTTGTTTAATTCATTAAATGCAAATAATTATAAACAATGAATAAATTTTCTAGTTATTTCTCCTTTTTAAGATATGTAGTTTTTTTTTTTTTGTATATTAGAAGCTGTATATATGTGGATCAGTGGATGTATGAAAAATTGTGTTATTTGGTGTAAAATAAACATGTGGATTTAAAACAAAAAAAAATTCAAGTCTAATATTAAGCAGATGAGATTATTACAGTGAAACTTAGAAAACGCGCCAATTAAATCAAGATGTACCAAGTAAACAGTGATTAATATAATTTTCGCCAACTAGAGGCATAAAAATCACTAAACGCGCATGGTAAAATATATGAGGTGAAATGAAGGAGAACTTAAACTAGAGGGGTCTTTTTGTGAAGTTTTCTTTTAATTTTTTTTTGTCCTTTTCGTTGGTTCTGGACAACAATCATCGCTAAAAGAGATCTCTAGATTGCTGGTGGTGAATTCGAAGAATCTCTCACGTTCAGTTCTCGACGACGGATCAAGCTCTAAGCCTACCTGAATCTTCGTCGGTATCATCTCATTCCATCGCGCATTTCTCTGTTTTGATTCTCTGTATCGATTTTCCTTTTGTAAATCTGAAAAGTTTGAGGAGGAGAAAATCATGAATTCGAACTTCGGAAAAAGATCATCTGGGTCGATCAATAGCTTTGATTTCGACCTCGGTCTCGGATCGAGCCAAGGTAGACCTCTGAATGGTCAAAAGAGCCAAACATCTTCTTATTCGAGCTCGAATTCGCAGCCGAGACCCGCGTGGCAGCCCGGTAAGCCTTCGTGGACGCATCAACCGGCTCCGAAGCAGACGACGATCCGATCTGAGATTGGAAGTGGACCGACTTCAATGGTCGGTGATATTCACGGTAAGACTTGGGGTTCATCTTCCGGATCGGGTTCTGGTATTGGGATTGTGAACAAGGATCCTAGCTTGTTCGGAGATTTGGTAGGATCAGCCATTGGAAAATCCAGCGGAAACGTGCCGTTGAAGAATGCCCCGCCTGCTTCGGCTACAGGTTCGAATAAGAGCCCTTATTCCATGGGGAATTTAGCTGATTCGTTGCCCAAATCGGGTAATTCGATGAAAAGTGGTGGTGGTTGGGGTTATAGCAGTAATCCGGGTGGTGTTTCAGGCGGATACACAAGCTCCGGCGGTAGTAATTCCGGTGTTAATGTTAATAGCAGCCTGAAGACTCCAAATCTTGGAGGTCCTTCAATGAATAATATGTCTGGGAACAATCTAAGTGGCTCTGGTTTTCCTTCGAACAGCGATCCGTTTGGTTCGTTGGTCGGGTTAGCAACAAAATCATCAGGAAGCATGAATGCTGGAAGCAAAACGGGAAAGGCTAGCAACAATGTACAGAGTGATTCTTTTGGGAATTTCCAGAATTCATCCCAATCGAATCCAAACAGTGGCGGTTTTGCGGGATCAACCCCTCAAAACAACGACTTTGGGGATTTTCAGAACGCCGCGAAACCAAACACATTCTCATCAGGCGGGTTTACCGGCTTCAATGCTTCAAACATTGATTTTGGTGTGCAATCAAATGTTCCCCAAACCACAAGTGCAAACGATGATCCATTAGGAATGTTCTCTGGTTCAAATGCCTCAGCTGCACCGGTTACACCGCAGACTGAAGATTGGGGATTTGAAAGTTTTGATGGTGGAGCTGATTCGGGTGGCGGTTCCACCACCGAGCTTGATGGGTTGCCACCACCTCCACCAGGTGTATCAGCTACATCAGCTAAGAGCAAGGGCATTGATAACCAGAGACAAGGTCAGTACGCTGATGCCATAAAGTGGCTCTCTTGGGCTGTGATTCTTATGGAGAAAGCTGGCGATCAAGCTGGATCAGCCGAGGTCCTTTCAACTAGGGCTTCGTGTTACAAAGAAGTTGGAGAGTATAAAAAGGCTGTATCCGACTGCACAAAGGTATGTGATAGTTGATTGATTTAAGGCACATTTATCTTTGGATGCATCATAGTCTTGATTCGTATGATCCTCAGTTTCATTCATAAACGAACTCTCTAACTATGGTACGTCTATGTATTGGCTTTAGTTATACGGATATGAGTTTCAGGATCCTGCGGAATCTAAGATATGGTACGAGTTAGATTTGCTATGCAATTATAGAAGTAGTTTTAGAGTCTTGCTTTGAGGAAAAAGTACTGAACGAACTCTGGTCGCGGCATCGTGATATTGTGGCTAGTTGATTGGTTGTTGTTATGCTCCATAGATAGTTTCTTGTAAACTGAGTACAAAAACAGCATATGCAGAACATGTTCAACCAATTTCCAAACATCTTGAGTTGTTTACCAGATTTGATATATGAAATATGTTTCTTTTGTTTGTTAAAATGTGGTCGCAGGTACTTGACCACGACAAGAAGAACGTTACCATTCTGGTTCAACGAGCACTCTTATACGAGAGCATGGAGAAATACAAACTCGGAGCTGAAGATCTAAGGAATGTTCTGAAGATCGATCCCGGGAATAGAATTGCTAGAAGCACCGTTCATCGCTTAACCAAAATGGCTGGTTGATTGGTCCTTCATAGTTCATATACCAATATATTTTTTTTTTTTTCTAAAGTTTGAAAGAGGAACAAAAAACCCTTCGAGTCTCTAAAATTTTCCCGTTTCGTCTCTCGTCCATGGACCTTGGGTGTGTGCATTGTTTCTGAGTTTTATGGGTTTTTCTATAATGGGTCAGCTTATGCAGTATGTGGGTTATGAATGTATTTTTCTTGAATGGTGTGATTTATATGTCGTTGATTGTTATCAATTGGATCATACGCTACATTTTTTAATTTACCACGAAATTTTTGACCATCAATGTTTCTTTTTATAAACTACACGACCGATAGTATATTAGTATACACTAAACGATAGTAGTATATTAGTATACTACTAAATATAGGGTTGATTACTAACAGTGAATAAATGCCAAGATGACCGTAAACTTCGCGTCACAAACAAGAACCTTACGGTTGGAGGCACTGCGCGTGAGACGAATAACGCCCATTACACAAATGAATCACATAACC